GGATCAGCACTGTGCGCTGGCCGCAGCGTGCCAGCCGCGGTGGCCATTGGAGGGTGAACCAACGGCAAAGGAAGACCTTTCTCTCTGTCTCTCTCTCTCACTGTCCACTCTGCCTGTCAAAAAAAAAAAAAAAAAGAAAAAAAGAAAAGAAAAGAAAAGAAAAGAAAAGTGATAAATGTTGAGATAAGGCCACGAAGCATGCTCAGCCACAGTGCACGGAGGCACCAACCCCCAGCAGGTTAAGCTGTGGACTCTCCTCTGCCCTTCAGTGCCTCATTTGTATAACAAAAGATGCTCTTTACACAAGCTCACAGACAGGAGTGGGAACTGAATAAAAAAATCCATGCCAGGTGCTCAGAGCGGTACCCATGGCTGAGAATATCTATTTCAGTATTATTATGAGTAAGGAAGAGTAGTTTATTACAGCTTCCTGGGACGTACTGGATAGATTTCCTGGAGCCCTTTAGAATTTCATCTGGGCCTTGAGTTATTTGAAAATAAACAAACAGGAAAAGCAAATAACAACAACAAAAAGCCCCTCCATAGTCTGGATGCAGCCAACAAAGCACATTCCAGAAAACCAAAGCAAACCGGACATGAAACAAACGAATCATATCTCAGTGCTGGGCATGGTGTTGGGACTGATGTGTTGAGAAGTGAGGTTTTGGAAATTCCATAAATCAAGAGAAATAATGTTCTAAACTTAAGGAAGGTTTGGGCCCTAAGCTGGAGATGGCTCCTTAAGGGACCTTAGTCCCGTACCTAAATGAAAATATATTTAATGTCTCAGAGAATGAAGTTTGATTTATTTTCTATGTTAAATTTAAAATCTGATTATAAGCCCATGGAATCTCAGTAGCTCCAAACTCTATATTCTTCTTGCTTCTTTATCTCTTCCTGCAACATACATCACGTTATTAACATAAAATAAAGATTAGACAGGCATGCTGTCTGGCTGGGTTTTAAGGGTGTGTGTTGTTTGCCTGCCACTCATTTTGATAGCTATTTAGATGATCCAGAACAAAACCAAGTCATTTAGGCAATCATAGCAGGAGGTGATCTTACATGTCATCCACCACAGTTTCAGTTGTCACATTAGTGTCAACTTCATGTAAAAGTTAAAAAAAAAAAAGTTTGAGCTCCCCCTTGTGGTGGCATGCTCTGAGAGCCATGCGCAAGCCCCAGGTTCTACGCATAGGAAAAGCATGGCATGGTGAGCCAAGAGAAAGGCAACATTTTTAAAAAGAAAGTCAAAGTCTTGACAAATAGTTTCAGAATGTGAAAAGACTTGAGAGACTTCTAATATTAAAAATAGCAGCATGTCCCCTGATGGCCTTTGGACAGCATTGTGCCGACAGACTCTGTACGTGTATTAAAATCTATAGTTGTTCAAGCGCCTTAAATAAACTTGACAAGGTCTTTGCATAAAACCTACATATATACTCTATGTGAATACCATGGAAGTAGATACTAAATTGTATTGTTTGGTAATAAAGATGAGAGGAAAGTATGTACACATCCAGGAGAAATGCAATTTTTTAATTTACATTTTTAATCCTGAAACAGAACCTACAGGTACACAGGACTAATTGTCATTGATGCCCCCTGAAGATAGGAATTGTGACCTAGTTACACAGTGGCCCCTACGAGGCAGTCTCACCTACTGTGCTACTTTCCTGGCTGTTGCTGGCATCTTGGTTTGTTAGTCCAATTACAGCAGGCAGTGCATAACTATAAGGCTAAAACTTCATTGAAAGATTATTAAATGTGAAAAGAACAGCTCTCTGGGTTCTCATCTTTGTCAGTTGCTGGCTAGACTGCCTGACTCATTCAATCCTGCTGGACTGTTTATCAGTGTTTCCTAAGTGGGGTAGGTATGGATTATACACAACATTTTTTTGGAATGATGTTTATTTCCCTACAACAAAGCAAATTAGGATTGAGCTCCCAACTACCTGGTTTGTGTTAACTTGATCTTTTCCGTGAGTTCCCTCCCACTTCTCATGAGGGTCTTAAGTAATCCTGGTAGGTCAGAGTCCACATCAGCCTGCAAACTCAAGCTGGACTCATTGGATATATCATGACCCTCTGACATGATGAATTTCTGATTTGCTACATTCTGGATTATCCTATAACTCTTGGAATTTAGGGAGTTTCTATTACTTTAGGCACAATGCAAAGTGACCCAGGAGGAACTGGACTAGTACCCTTCCAGCAATGGGTAGTATGCAGAGGTCACGCCTCCACGGCTTTATTTTGAGCTGTGCAGAACCCTGACAAATGTAACCTTTATGAGCATCAGCAATACAAACACTCCACTTACGATAAAATATCATGGGCTCTTCCAGTTTTCTTTGATTTGAAAAATAACTTTGGACCACTTATTTCTTATAACACAGTCACAACAAATGTACCTTTGACCAAAGGCTTCAAAAACTGAATAAAATAAGGGAAAATGTAAATTTCTCAAATAGTACTTTGGATTCATTCTCAATTGTGGGTAATACTTGATTTGATGTAGCATGAGGGATTTGGCTTCCAAAAAAGTGATTCTAAATATGTCCTTAAACTTAAAGTCACTTAAAAATGAGATAGTTCCTAAAAAGAGCTTTCATATAGCCTTGTATCAAGAGGAACTCAGTGTCTTCTATGAAAAATTTCTATGCAATATCAAACACAGATGTAAATAGTAGAAAGTAATGTAATTTTACCAAGAAATTGACCAAAACTACCTTCAAATGAGTATATATTGGTTTAAAAGTCTAGACTAAAAAGAGCAAAAACACTAGGTTAAGTCGCTGCTTGAGATTCCAGAATCCCTTCTCATACACCTGGGAAGATAGCTGAAGATGGCCCATGTATTTGAGTCTCTGCCACCCACGTGGGAGAGTATGGAGTTCCCAGCTACTGGTTTCAACCCGGCCTAGAAATTGCTATTATAGTCATTGGCGTGAACCAGTGGATTTTTGACCTTTCTCTGTCTCTCCCTCTCTGTTGCTCCTTCAAACAAATCTTTGTAATAAAATAAATGTCTAGATGAACAATTAATGCTTTTATACAAAAAGGTGTTCTAAAAAGACTCAAATTTAAAGTTAATATTTAGGGACCAGCTCTGTGATATACTGAGTAAAGCCACTGCCTGCAGTGCCTGCATCCCTTATGGGCGTTGGTTCAGAGCTGTTCCACTTCCAGTCCAGCTCCCTGCTGATGTGCCTGGGAAGGCAGTGGTGGATAGCCTGGGTGCTTAGGACCCTGTATCCACCTGGGGGACCAGGAGGAGGCTCCTGGCTCCTGGCTTCAAATCATCTCAGTTCCTGCCATTGCAGTCATTTGGAAAACAGGCCAGTGGATGGAGGATCTCTCTGTTTCTGCCTCTACTACTCTGTAACACTGCCTTTCAAATAAATAAAAAAATCTTAGAAAAATAATAGTCAATATTTAATCTCTAAATAGTCTATTCAATGTTAGAAAAGTTCAAGTAATTATACTATATTAATATTACTGGAAGTTTTATAACCATTAAAAATATCCTGAAGTCATTTTTATGTTAAAAATGTGGGATGATATTGGTTATGTTTTATGATCCAAGCTATTTTATTGTATCTGTATGTATATGAGTGAGAATCTGAAAAGCAAACATATTATCAGAAGTTATTCTGAGTGGTGGAATCATGCGGTTTTTTCTTACCTTTTTATTCTATTAAAAATTTCCAAATTTGTTGTAATAGACATGTACTACTACCACAGATTTGTAAACAATCATGAAGATTTGTATGATAAACTCCTTGACATTATATATGAAGACTATGTGTGCTATATAACATCTAAGTTTCCTGAAGAGGTATTTGATGTACATATTTTTCATCATTCATCAACACTGGTCCTGGAAAAAGGCAACTGGCGCATCCAAGTCCAAGCATGGAAGGTGATCTATTACAAGATAAGTTTGAGGGAAAATAGCTCATACAGTAGCTTGAGAACTGCTGACATCATTGTAATGATCACATTTTTTTCTTGCTGGAAATAGATGGAGTGAGGGCTATGACTATCATTTATTTCTTTATTTTAAGCAATGGTTAAGTTTCAATGTCTCTTTCAAAAATTCCTATGTACATGGGAAGCTGAGAATACCTGCCAATCCAGTTCTTGAATCTCTTGTCTTAACACCCTGTTTACTTCATCTTTCGATATATATTTTTGGCCTGGGGACTTGCAGGGATACATGATTCCTATATGATAAGAAAACAGTCCAGATCAAACTTGTGTTACTATATAACCCTTAGCATGGCTTAAATTATGTGCATTTCTCAGAAATCTAAGGAAATAATTCAAAGAATGTACAGAAACAGTTTCTCAGTTTTTCAAAAGAATGGTTAAATTTCCCAGTTAACTAAATTTAGTTTTTGCATGTATTTGTCTTTTTTATTCCCTAAAGAAAGAATAAAAGGTGCTGTCTAGATTTCTGCTTCTTTGCCTTGACTATAAATGTGGAAAGAACAGTACAGATCTATGGCAGTCAGATCACACCAGTGCAAGGTCATCTCTGAATAGTGTAAAACAGTTCTGGAAGTGACCTTTACTGTTTCAGATCTTTACCCATGTGGTAGGGAAATGCATTCAACAGCTCTGTGGAAACTGCCAGTGTTAACAGAAGTGCTTAAATCAGGTGGGTATTTAGGTTCTTTAAAAATCCAACTTATTTAATTACAGAAAGTTTGGAACTTGGTTTGTCATGTCTGATTGTTCGTAACATGAACATTTGTTCAAAAAGTGTACGGCCTATAGGTGGTGGAGATCTTTGGGGAAAAGTTTGTCACCTCTCATCATGTTTATGAAGCAGATCAAAAGCAAGGGCGTTTCAATCACACCATAAATTTGGCAACATAATAAATCAGTTCTCCAATATGATTACCACAGTGCAAAAACGATCAGAGTAGAAAATGAGTACTTTATGTACTCATCAGATAATAAACTTGGCCTATCAACAGATAATCCATGTCTTCCATCACAGTAACATTTTCCAAGCAAATAATAGAATTTTTATTTCATAATGTAACTGCTGTAAGTTAAATTGATTCAATTTAATTAACAAGCATTTATTTAGTGCCTACCTGTGCACAGCACTATACTAGGCATACAAAAGGGTTAGAGATATGATCCCTGCTCCTAGGGAGCTTACAGTCTACGTAGGAAAGATGACTTATGCATATAAGAAACAGTAAAGAACCATTACAAATCACATGAAAATAAGTGTAATTAAAGACCTAGGAGTTAAAGGAAGCCTATCAAGAAAGTGATATGATTGGGAATAGAAGCTATCTGAAAAAGATGAGCAGGAACAAAGTTGGCAGGGGAACAGTGTGATCATGCTATGGCCAATATGAGATCAAAAAGGAGAAACCCAAAGACAGGGGAATGAACATCAGCAAGTCAACTGCAGAGAATGGCAGGCAAATTGGCTTAGCTCTGGAGAAGGACACTGAGTTAGGAGATGCAGCTGAAGACACTGTAAGGCTAGTGAGGGCAGTGAGTATTACCATTCACATTAATTCTAATTTTAAATGAAAAGCAATGCCTTAACTCATCTATTAACTAAAGCCTCCAATAAAAGTATGTTTTCTCACCTTAACAAAAAGGCAGGAAAATTATAGCATATCAGGCTCTAGGCTCAGGGAATATGATCACTGAAGTTCAAATGAACAGACTGAATAGAACAGCAATCACTTATGGTATCTTTTCTCTTTTCTTTCTTATTTTAATTCATGAAGAGATGGGTTGTCTAAGAGTCAAGGACCTCTTCAAGGCTAGGGAGCTTAGTAGATCAGGACCTAGTAGATCAGGCCCCTCACTCACTTAGGAGTTTTCCTCTAGCAATCCTATTGCTTCTCATATCAAATCCAGCTGCAAATAAGGTCTTGGATCTGTATTTGTGGGAATAAGGAGGAAAAAACAAGGTGTTGGATTTTAAAAATAAGTTAATACCTAATTAACCACGATGACTTTATGCAGGTATTTCTGTGTTTAGAGGCAAAAATAAGAAGGTGAAATGTATTCCTGCTCCTAGTTCAACAAAGCTAAGGCAGAACGAATGTAAGTGTACATAAGCAAATGGCTTCTAAAGTTAACCCACAAACCTAATCATAACTTACTTTGCTGGATCACACCCACTTGAAATTCAGTGTGTTAAGAAAAAGGTCAAGAGACTAGGGCAGGGTAGAAAGTGGGGGCACAGGCACAAATCCTTAATTTGGAATACATGGAGACCCTTCTTGCCCAGGTAGGACCGATGATGCTTTTATGGACAAGCATGACCTTGATAATCCATCAGGGGTAGAACAAGGGAAGAGCAACCACATAGCTTGTACTCTGAGTCTTCACATAGTGCATTGTTTTTAAACTGAAGGAAACTTCTGAGCCTCTAGGATATCTGTGAAAGTCACTGGCCACCAGCAGCTGCAGCTGTTTAAAGAGAGAGAAAAAATGAAAATGAGACAAATGAAAATTTAACTTTGTTTCTGCTTAGGTTGCCTGAAATCTGTATCATCCAAATGTACTCAACTTTGCCATAATACTTAACATTTTATACTAGAAATATTTCTATATTTATTTAACAACATCCTCATAAATTCTAAATAAGGGAGAATCAAAGTTTTGCTTTTTTGGTAACATTTACTCATGATTGCATGTGTAATTAATATTCAAATGCACTCCTTTCAAATATTTCTAATGCAAGAGCTCCTCATTGTCCAGTACTCAGTAGGTATTTACTACGTGACTGCACATGGTACAGGAAAAGTTCAGGTAAGCAGCATGCTATAACACTGCATTTTTGTAATCATTACATTTGATAAAGATAACAATAAGCCTTAACTAGAATTCCCATCTTAGAAGCCAGAATTTTCCACTCACCGCTTTAAGCACAGATTTGGTGATTTCACATTATACAAAAGCAGGATGCCCCTTCATCTACAAAGCCTACATAATACTCATCAGTGCCCACTAAGGTAACCCCATCCTAGACTTCATCTCAACAATCGACACTCCTCAGGTAAGGGCTATGGAATGGACACGGTTAAAACAGAGATAAAGTCATTGCTCCTCTTAATGTAGAAGACATGAAGGTTGGCCTAAGTTATGGAAGTAAAGGCATTGGAATAAACACTTGCCCTCTCCCAAACATGACAGTTAAGGAATTGAAGATGAGGGAGTGGGAATAAACTCATAAGGAAGTGGAACAAGAGAGGAGACCATCAGGGGAAATTTTAGAAGCTATAAATCAGACTGATGAATGTTAAGTGATTTATAGATCTTAACAGAAATCTTAAGCCAGCAGCTGAGAAGCAACATCGTTTACACAGCGAGACCTCCAAAAGACTCAGGATTCTCGCAGCAACAGGCACCTCTGGAAATGAGGAACCAATAAGAAGCAGATGCCCGAGCTTTCTAAGAGGCAGACAGACCTCCAGATCCACTGTCCTCTTCTCTATCCCTGTAGAAAACTGGAAGAGGCTCTTTTCTAAAAGAATTAACAACAGATGTTTGTAAGCTACAGGACTACTAGGAGCGTCTCAGTGAAAATGGGACTTATGGGGGCATTTATGAGCCAACTGCTGAGACCCATGACCTCTTTCCCACTCAGGTGCTCTGTTTGCACGGCAAGCCTTTTTTCTCTAGACAGAAGCTCTGAAGCAATTTTCCTGACGAATCCAATCATCCCGAGAGGCGAAGACCAAAGATACCCAGGGGTCCCTCAAACAGTCCTCCAGAGAAGATCTGTGCACAAACCCCACCCACATGCTCAGAGCTTCCAAACCCAGTTTGGACCCTACCCTGAAATGTGAGCTGAGCACCAAGGATCACAAAGCACTAGAGAAAAGACTTCAACTGAGATCAACAAGGGTTAAGGAAAAGATAAAATAACTTAGAGGAAACAGAGACCATGAAAGGCAAAGAAACTTACAAAAGAGTCAATATTGTCATAAAGACAAAACAACCATGGCAGCCATTAAGCAAGAACAGGATACTGTTTAAAAGAGCAGTTAGAGAACAAAATAACTTGTGGAAATTAAAATTACAGTGGTGGAGGTAAAAGGCCAAGAGAAATATTGAAAATAAAGTTAATGAAATATTCATGGATAAAGCAAAGGGACAGAAACAGGGAGAATAAGAAAGAAAAGGAAGAACATTCAAAAACTAGCCCCTAAGAGACCCAGTATCCAAATAATGGGAACTCCGCAAAGAAAGAACAGAGAAAATGTATGAAAAGAGATCCCTAATAATTCAAGAAAACAAAACTCCCTTTAACTGAAGCACAAGTTTACAGACTGAAAGGGTCCACTGATGAGTACACAGGGAATAAAATTAGATCCACTCGAGACACATCATTGTAAAATTCAGAATAATAAAAAGCATATCCTACAACTTTTCAGGTAGGTAAAACAAACAAACAAATATATTGAGTCACTTTGGAAAGATTAATGGGAAGGGCAATTGGGACGCCCACCTCCCATATAGAGTGACTAGCATTGGGTACCAGTTTCACTCCCAATCCCAGCTTCCTGCTAATGCATAGCCTGGGAGACAACCAGTGATGGCTCAAATACTTGATTCTGCCACCTCTGTGAAAGATCTGGGTTGCATTCCTGACTCCTGAATTCACCCTGGTCCCTGGCTGTTGCAGGCTTTTGGGAATGGAAGCAGAGGATAAGATTCTCTCTCTCTCCCTCCCTCTCTCTCTCTCTCTCTCCCTTTCTCTCTCTCTCTTTCTCTCTGTCTCCTCAGAAACATTTTCAATTGAAAAAATAAAGACTCACATTGCTTCCTAGTAGCAACTATAGAATCTGGAAGGCAGTGGAAAGTCTCAGAACAAATATTATTCCAAAGAAATATCATTTTTAATCTAACTAGATGGATATGTTCTACACTCAAACTGTTAGTCTAAAAAGAATGTAAAAGAAGATGGTTTCAAATATGCAAGGTGTCAGAAAATTAACCTTTCTCACATTCCTTCTTCTTCAAAACATGTGAGCAAACCAAGAAAGAGGAAGTTGGGGAAAAAATGGAAAATTGGATATCTAAAACAGGGTAGAGTGACAGAAATCCTGCTGGATGAGTGAAGAGAATTCAAAGGCTGACAAAACTGTACACCTGATGTAAATGGGGAAACAATTGAAAGAGAAGTTTGGAAGATTCTGAAAAAAGACTTCTTCAAAGAAAAAAAAAAGAATAGAAAAGTCATATGTCTGGGTGTATTGAGAATATAATTCAATAAGCAATAGAGATTTGGATATCAAATCATTGATAATACATAGAAAAATTAGAAAAAAATTTAAAAAGACAATTATGGGTCTTGAGAAAATTAAAAAGCATAAGAAAGTAGTCATAGTCTATCTACTACATAGCTCAGCTGTGAAAGCATTACACATCCATAATAATTTATTGACCTTTCCAAAATAATAATTTAACCAAACGGGCAGAATATGTAGAGAGATTTAAGAGTATGAAAAGAACTAAATCCTTATCTCCATTGTAGTTTATATCTTTCATAGATAAAACTTAAAACTAAAAAGTCAAGAAATTGCAACAAAAATCTAACATTTGGAGAAAAATACCTAAGAATTAACTGAGAGTTTGAAAATGTTTGTCTTGGGGAAGTTAGGTGTGTAAGAGTAGAGAGGGTACAATGGTGTAGGAGAGGGGAAGAGATGACGATTTTTATAACAAGCTTTACAGAATCATGTAACTTGCAAATATATGCACATGTAGCATGAACAATTTATAAACTGTTTTATGAAAAGACTAGTTTGATAACTGTAAGTCACTGTAAGTGTTCAATTTAGCACCCAGAGATTAATCTTACATTTCTGCATACTAAGTTAAAAAAAAGAAAAAAAAAAGAAAAAGAAAGGCTAAGCATCAATAGAGCAACAAAATAATGTCTTCAATAAATGTTGTTTTATCCTTTTGCCTTTCACGTAGGTGGATGTATCCTCTCCAATGCATTTCATGTGCTTCAGGGAAACTGATCAACTCCAGCTCCAACGGGTGGTCCTGACTGACTGGCTTCAGCAACTCATCTTACTCTTGCCCTGATACAAGGTTAGGGTTGGACACAAAATGTGAAAGAAGGAAACACTGGGGACTGTCCAGGAAAGGAGTTCCCATGCTCTTCCTAGAGAGCTATTCAAAACAACATTCTCTTTTCTTTTAGGTGTGATAGTCAAGGGACAGGGCATTGGGTGTAGCTGCATCCATTCCTGCTGCCATAAAGATTCAGCAAGTTGTAATGAAGTTTACCTTGAGAGATTCACAATCCAGCTCAGCCCAGACCATGCTCTAAACTTAGGATAAAAAGTGGCCTGAAGCCACTCTTCATTTGTGTAAATTAACTCATCTTCTTTTTAAAATTAAAGCAATTTAAATTGAATTTTATTACTTACAGAGGCAAGTCTGACTAATATAAAGAGTTTCAAAGTTAGGAATAAGGAAAAAGTTGAGAAGGATTTTTACTAAAGTTCTTGGGTGTCACTTTCCCAGAGGGAACTCGAAACATGATTAATTTTGGCAAACAGGAATCCACTTTATTCTGATACAGTCATCCCTCCGTTACCACAGAGGATTGGTTCCAGGACTCCTTAGATACCAAAATTCACAGATGCTCAGATTCCATATATAAAATGGCATACTATTTGCATATAACCTACACATATACTCCCAGATATGTTAAATCATCTCTATTACTTATAATGCCTAATACAATGTAAATGCTATATAAACAGTTGTCATACTGTATTTTTTTAGGAGATAATGACAAAAAAGTCTGTACATGGTCAGTCCTTAATTTTATAAAATATACTTTTAGTTGGCAGTCGATTCAATCTGCAGAACATGCAGATTATGGCTATGGAGGGCCAATTCTATTTTAAAAATTAAGGAGACCTTAAAAAAGAAAGGTTAATGGATTAGAAAAGGCTTCTGGCAGTCACTGGTGATGAGCTCAGAGGAGACCCTCCTGGGATCTTCCTATTGTATCCTTCCAGGCATAAAAATAGCCAAAATGAGCAAGCGAGATTCTACATTTGTATCTGCTATTTGTATGTGACTTTGGGGATGTTTTCTTCATTTTCTGTCAGTATTCAAGGTCACTTTTTTATAAAATCACTACTGTTAAATTTACATTTCTGATTTTTCTTTCTCTTCTTTTATATCCTCTTGGAAAATAACTAAACTCCCCAAATATGATGCCTGTGAAGCCCTAAAATGTGGACCGTGAGGATTAGAGAATGCAATACTTAGTTCAAGAATGTTGCCTACTCAAATGCCCCATTTGGAGAAAAACAAAATGGAAGCCCACATGGTCAGTAGAAAAATAAAAATCGCCACCATAAACCTCTTTCTGACCTGCTCGTGCAGCTGCCATTTTCTTGTTTCGCATTTTGTTCTCCAAAGCTTGCTACATAAAAAAAAAGTAGAAAAGAAGAAAATTAGATTTCCTGGTGTTTTCTACTACTTGACATTAATTAAGACAGCATTCCTATGAAATAAATGGAATCCTACCAGTTTCATCTTCTTTTTTAAATCCAGATTTGCTGCCTTCTGGCCCTTGGCAGTAGCATTGAGATAATAGATGGTCAAACTAAATTTAAAATGGAAAAAAAAAATCATGTTTTTCTTTTCAGTTCCTCAAGATTCTTTTTAAATTTATATTAACTAAATCATAGAATGTAAGTATGGGAGTGTGTGGGGAGATACTTTCTGTTCTATGTTCATTTTGTAGAAGTAATTATGGTCCAGAGTTACACTGAGGACTACCTAGCAATAAGGATGAATCTGGGAAGTTGAGCTCAAGGCTTCTAATCCACAGCCCACCACTCTGCCCACTATGCAACACTGCCCAGTATTAGCTTCTTCTTGGAAATGTATTGACATCACGTTCAATTGTAATTAAAAGCAATATTTTAATTTAAGAGCAAAGGCAAACAAGAGAACGGAAAATCTACTGAAGTTTATGGGCCATGTCAAATAAAAAGGAAAATTACTTTCTTCCTTAAATTCCCTCCTTTGACCTTTACAACAAGGAGCACAATCCTCATAGGTATAGTAAATTAATGTGGATTGTTCCATAGAATATGTTGTTTCCATTTCTCCTTCCCTCAAAAAAATTTTATAAAGGAATATGTTTCCAGAAAAAGCAAATTCTAGCCAAACAATTCTGCAAAAAGAAATATGCTCATCTTTACTTAAGACAAAATGAACAAAGAAAAAAAATAGTTACAAAAAGAGAAACTGAAATTGTTCTTTGTTGCAAATAACTGGATATTGAACACATTTCCTCTACCCACTGACCTGCCAGATAATATCCTTTATGGGACATCTGGAGCCAGGACCACAATTATGGATACAATTTAACTGAGTTGTTTATCTCTTATGTGAGTTGGGGGCCTTTGAGTGAAATGGCACACAGGCAAGCAAGCATTTGGGGAATATCTGCCATTAAATAGGTGCTCAATAAATGTGTGTACGTTATTAGAATTTGCTTCGAAAAGTTCCTTTACTTGGTGGGCAAATTCAAAAACCTCACAAGTCACTTCCATTTCTGAATTCTCTGTTTATCCAATCCTATTTTTCTGCTTTGTAATGTCCCTTAAATGAGTTTTCCTTGCAACTCATTTTCTAGTTTCCAAAGGAATCAAATTTCCCACTGAGAACTAACCTGAACTCTCAAATACTACAAAACCATCCAAGCTGATTTAATATGATCCATTGGGGAAATTCAAAATGCTTGTAACATTCTCTAATTAAAGGTAGTAAAAAGCAATGCCAATTGTACGGGCCCCATAAAGGAAAAGATGAGCCCTCGGGGTTTGATAAAAAATAAAATCAGTAATAAACTGAAATTTGGGTTTCAAATTGGAAACTCAGAGCTAAAACTCAACCTTGCAGAGCATCAGCTTGACCCTCACATGCTGTCAGCTTCCCCCTAGGCTGTCTCCATCGATGGGCAGCACTTTGGGCCTCCAAGCCAAACCCGCTCCTAGGCTATTTTGTTTGGTCCATGAATTCAGAATGGTTTTTACTATTTACATAGTTATATAAGATAGAAGAACTTATATAAAATCCTTAATTATGTCTCTTGGTCTAAAATATCTACTAAGATCATCTCTGACACTAGCTTCCAGCCCTTCTGATGTTCCCACTGATCTAGCATTCTCTTTGACACTGTAAGTGTAAGAAGTAAGTGGGAATAAGAAGACATGAGTTTGAAGTACATTTATCAGCCATGTGATTTGCAGCATATCTTCCCAGTGCTATTGATAATGTGATTAACGAAGCCAACTTCTTGAAGTTATTGTGTGAATTAAATAAGTCAAGGGATGGAGAGTGTCTGAGACAAAGACAGTGTTAGTTCCTTTTTCACACTTTCTAGACAGATTATTAAATCTTTAGATAGTGGAATCATGTTGCTCCTTTGCTTAGATACAAATGTCCCTCAGAAAATTAAGAATATCATTACAAAAACTGACAAATATATTGTGTGTGTATGTGTTCTAAACAAGATCTTACTTTTGGCCTTGACTCTCAAAGGGCCTAGGATACTTATTAACATGCTCTCAGAAGCCACTGTGTCATGAAAACATAAAGAAATCACTTCAGGGGCCATCTGGTGAAACATGCTGCACCTGGTCGGTCATTTCCTAATGCATCCAACCAGAGATTTCATATCAGAGTCTTAAGACCACCCCACAACCAAGATTCTATAATTTAAAATAGTGATCTGTTTTACTGTTAAATTATCCCTGCAGGTTATTAGTTCTCCGTCATAGAAGGTGCCATGGTGTAAAGAAGGGAGCATGGGATTTCCTGCCAAAGGATCTACTCTAAGTCCTAGTGTTGCCATTTTACTACCTTTCTCACCTAGGGGGAAAAAATCACTTCACTCCTAGAACTCAGCTTCTTAATTTATGAAGTTGAAGGTGACTTCTGCCCTCACTACCTTAGGAGACTTGGGACCATGGCAATGGCCGTGATGATGGTAGCAACAACGAGGTCAGAATCCCAGCTTATTTACTTCAAACCAGTGGGAGTTTTCTCCCTGAGATTTCCCTCATTTTGCCTTTATCTAAACAAACCCACCCTTTGCATCAAAGTGTCCCTGGGGTGGATTAATCCCTGTCCTCCTTGATTGATAAGGACAGCAGCTCCAGTCTTTCTATGCAGGAGGGGCTCTGGGGTTGGAAGGAAGGGCTAAGGCACTTTTCTTGGCTCTTCCAGAGTAAGCACGTGTTTTTATTTAGAGGCAAGTGTATGTGGGATGGCCAAGACTCAGAAGTCAATGAAAGTTATATGAGAACATAATCTCTTGCCAAGTTCTCCTTTGGAAATCACTCTGAGAGGGATAGATTGAGGGGTCTTTCCAAGAACCCCCTGGTTCTGTTAGCAGGGATACACACTTATTGACAGTCCTCTAAGAACAGATAGGGCGAGTATTAAGACCCCCTTAAGCCCTTAGTTCTAAAATATGGCTTATGGAGCCCCCAAGGGGAATATTAACTTAGAGGCTCATCATTTCTGTATATGCACAGCCATCTGCTTTATGGAATAATAGGCGGGGGTCGGGCTGTTGGGGGAAGCTCAATGTGCTGATTAGATTTAGCATTTATGTTTCCCTTGCTTTAGCTGTTTACTGATAATTATTTTGGTTACTTGGGAACAAATCTTATAATCCTGGGAAGGCAAAGACAGATGCAGATGGCTGTGAATTACATCCAATAAGATAAGAATATGGCTCATGAATTTTAGCTCCCACTACCATGTAATCAGCTCTGAATTAGGTTGGGTTACAGCACAACCCTTGGGGAGAGGGAGAGAGATGGAAAAGCTGACACTTAAAAGAAGCCAGGAAGCGTAACAAAAAGGCTCTTTTTCTGCAAAGGGGAAGAACATACGCCATCACAAGAACAACAGCAATGACCAGTCCAGGGTTCGAAAGTTGCCTCAAGATCTTCGCCATCCAGCTTGGAAAATCATGCTCCAGAGTCTCACCAATGACCTCGAACATCCGATTTTTGCCACTGGGGAAAAAAGGAGGAGGAGGGGGGTGGAGACACACTTCTTTAAAACATATGGGGAAACCATGGTTACTTCAAGACCATTATAAATCTTTCTGTAATACTGTTCGGCACCCTTGCACATCAGAAATCTTGTATCCAGCTACAACTCCTGAGACTTTGACCTCACATTGTCAACACACAGATAAGCCCTAAGAAATGGTATCCCGATAGAAACACACAGTCAATGCAATTAGGAAATTAACCACAGCATTAGGAGAAGACTTTCAAAAACTGCATTTCTAAGATTTTGATTGAGATGTATTTCACAAACAGCTCACATGGCTTACCCCTCAGCCAGCTTTTGGAGAATGCTCTCTTTGGGCTAAGTAAACACTATGCTCAGTTTGTAATTGGCATTGGAAATGAGCACAAGGAGTGGCATAGCAGAATAAAATCTACATATAATCCAATGTCTCTCCCCATACAATAGCTTGTATCCCATTTTCCACCACATCTCCTTCTTCAGAGATGGTGATAGGTAACCATACAGAACAACAGGTCCTTTTCTTCTCTGTGTTTCCTCTGCCAGACAGGCCCTAATGGATACCAGGCTGGCTGCACTGCTAAGACCCATTACATTCATGGAGAGTCTGCTGCTATCAACTGAAAACATGATAGCAGGATGTCCTAACTTAGTACAGACTAGAATCATAATGTCATTTTCATTATGCCGAGTTTTTCATGCATATGCATATTGATTCTACTCTGAAAAGATATGATTTTTCAGAAAAGATTTTGGGTATGTTTCACCAAATTGTATGTATTATCAGAGTAGAAATTGATATACAATTTAGGATAATGCTTGGTTTTGCTTTTGGTTTTTAATTTTAAACATTTTCAACTATTAAATGAAAATGACCCACAAGTACCAAATCAGATGTTTTTTCCCCTTCATATAGAACTAATACTATATTTCATCAGGCAAAGGGTGTCTTCAGGTATTTTGTCAGGAGTCACCGGACTACACAGGTACACATTTTGCTTCACAAATTACAGACTTGGAATAATTAACAAGACTTAAGATACATAATGGGGGGACAAAGCTTATTGATAATAACTTAAGATTATATTACCTTGTTCCAATACAGTTTCATCATCTCTCCATTCTAATTGACCATATCCCTCACCTCCAGCCATCCAGCATACAGGGAAGGAGGTAGGTCAGGAGGACCCCAAAAAATAAGACATTGCATCCTCCCATCTCCAGCATCTCAGGTTGTAGCTGATGAATATGATCAGAGTGGGGGGCTAGAACTTTATGAAACCATTTCTACCCTAAAAGGTCTTAATTCTTAACATTGATTGTGACCCAATCTAAAGTCACCAAAATATCTGCAAATTCTGGGTACCCTTTTTCAGACTGGGTCTCTTAACAAAGAAATGAGTCCAAATTTCTCAATTATGCCCATATTACAGAGGCAACTACAAATTCCTGGAAATCCTTTCTTCTTCCAGGTTACCCAAAGTGTGCTATTTTGCAATTTTCTCTAAAGTGCTTTCTAGCTGCCTCTGACAACACACACCAGTGATGTGCTACTGCACATCATGTGCTATGGCTATCCTGTAGCCATAGCTCTATGGGGAAACTTGTCTCTTCAGTTGGACTGGACACTCTTCAGGATCAGAATCCATGCTGAGGGGCCAGCGCTGTGGCAAAGCAGGTAAAGTGGCCACCTGTGGTGCCGGCATCCCAAATGGGCACCGGTTCCAGTTCTGGCTGCTCCACTTCCCATCCAGCTCTCTGCTATGGCCTGGGAAAGCAGTGGAGGATGATCCAAGTTCCTGGGCCTCTGTACCCACATGGAAGACCCAGAAGAAGCTCCTGGCTCCTGGCTCCTGGCTCCAGATGGGCTCAGCTCTGGTCGTTGCAGCCATTTGAGGAGTGAACAAGTGGATGAAAGACCTCTCTCTCTCTCTCTCCTTATCTCTCCGTGTAACTCTGATGTTCAAATAAATAAATAAATAAATCTTTAAAAAAATAAGAATCCATGCTGAGTGTAGGAATTTACCTCAGCACTATCTCCAGTGAATAGTGCACCTGAATTATTCATTCATTAATTGAAATTATCTGCCAGCACACTTCTGTGTCCTGCATGTTTAGAAATAAAAACAGTATGTCCCAAATCTTTAGAAGTCAGTTAGACTATTAAGGAAAATGGGCACACTGAAGTATAAGTGCAGATGAGCAATGTGACAGCAAAGTCACAATACAATGTTAAAAGCTATATATAAATTTGAACCTAGTAGATTATCTCAGCTATTTAAAAAATAATTATAAAAGGGAAATCAGAATGTAAAATGCCAAAATGTTAAGAGTTGTTATTTTAGCTCTTTGGGGTCATGGGTAGTGTTTTTTTTTTCAATGTTAAATTTCTACAATTTATGTTTTTTCTAGGATAAACACATATTAGTTTTATAGTATGGTAAAAACATATTAAAAGTTAAATTGCAATAAGCAGTTAGATATATGACAAACTGGAGAATTACAAAATGCTCAAAATTATTGGCATAGTTGGAGAAAAACATCAATTGTCAGGAAATGCAATGGAAAAATTAAAGGAACTGTCCATCTGGATATTAAAAATAGCTTTTAAATTTTCCAACTATTAAAAGTGAATCCACTTACTAGTCTATAAGAAAATTTTTTCTGAAGAATTCTCCCAGCTAAACCAGGTTTTAGAAAACCAGAATGAGCTAAAACATCTCATAAAATTGCTTTGCTGAATGGGTAAATGCACTATAGGCATCTGACCTGAAAATTCAGCTGCATCTGAGAGTCACTGGTCATTACTGTGATGTCCTCCATAATCCTACCTCAAGTTCATGTTTACTAACTTGTTGCTACCTAGAAGCCAGACAGATTCAGACAACCTTGTCTGGGCAGGCAGGGCAAACTAGCTCCATGTCAGAGTTCCTAAGGGGGGCAGGCCACAAGGCTTCCACAAATAGGTGCTTTTTCTCCTCATCAAACTTTCATGTCTAAACAAATAACCATTATTTTGTTCCAAACTGGGGAAACTGATAGGAAAATAAACTAGGTAGTATACATCTACCCTTTTCCCAGTACTTACAGAATATTTTAATTTTCTTGATCTCAAAAAAATGGCATACCTGCAGTAATTTTGACTAAGCTTTCCAATCAGGAAACTCTTGGTTCAAGTCAGATACCATGCCTTAAGTAAACTCGTGTGTTTGCAGTGAAAGTCAGAATAACTCAGTGTGCAGCAAAAGGAAAGCCAGAGGAGTTAGAACTTAAGAGGTTAAAACTGCACAATCATTGTGTGTGATATTACTCAATAGTATTTTAAATCTGAATGCAGCTGGCTCCCCAGCTACCTTTGTTTACACTGATTGGTTTCTATTACAAACAGCCAAAGTCCTTGCTGAATTTTACTAAGCAGGATTAACTTCCAATTAACAAACTAAAAGCACACATAAAAGTTATCTTGGATATTAAGCTGTGCAGGTAATTTGCAATTAAAGTCTGAATAGCATATCTCTCGGACTTTATCCTCTGTGATTTATTAAGGATTTATTAAGACAAATGTCTCCTTCAAGACTGTAATTTCGTGTTTAGTCTCCAGATGTCACTGTCTACATTATTTATTTCAGCCTACTAGGAAATACACACACACACACACACACACACACACACACACTGAAATGAAGAGAGCTTGTCAAGCTCCGATTCCTGAGTATGACAGAAGTCCCGTTTTGCTCTATCAACAGCTGGCTTAAAATTTTCTTTCTTTCTTTTCCAGTAAAGCAATAACTCAGACTAATATTAGAGTGAAAATGCCTCTCTTACACTTAGTCTGTGGGCAATGAGTCTTTGACTTTAATTGACAGATGAAGAGGAAATTGTACGTCGCCGTTACAGCACCATGCTTGTCCTTCACAGAGCTTCTCACTTCCTCACTTCCTTCACTGCAAAGGAGGAAGAGTAGCACTGCCTGCTGGCTGGTGACTCGGCATACAGATGTTCGTGGGGGCACTTGAGTTAGATTCGTCTCCAAGATTCTTTATGGAATGAAATCCCCTTTCCAGATCCCAGGGATTTTGCCTTCTGGTATGTGTCATAATGAGAGCTCTGTCCCAGAGAGCTATAGACAAATAAATTTCCAACTAGGATCAAAGAGCCTTCTTTGATTATTCACTTCATTACTCACTTGAGTGACACTTTGGGGGCATATATGTGAGGAACATCTTTACTCTTTTTCCTAGCATATAGCACTTTGGATAACTATACTCATCCTTGCTTAATAATGATTTCATTTCCTAGCTTATGTATGGGGCAATCTCCTTTTCCTTCAAGGTGGCGGTCCACATGAGAAATAGCCTGACTATCGCTGCATATGATGGCCTAGCATCAGCAAAATTCTCACACAAGACCAGTGTAATCACATCTTGTTCTTTGCTACCTCCTATAATGGAAACAGCTCAGATTCATCATCCATACTTCACTCAGGCAGATCTTAGAGCAGTATAAATTACATTCCTTTTGATGATTCCCAAATGAGAAAATAGATGGAACTTGCCTAAGAATCTCCATGTCGCAACGAGCTGAACATTTCTCTGACCAAAATGCAATTGTGTAAAAAAGAATGATATACTGTGAATGTCCATTTCCAGCTCCACCCCTGCAAAACCAATATGCCCAAGCCAAATTTCAAAGAGACCAAGAGACCTGAAAGGGCCACAATCAAAAGATGGCGGGAGGGACACGATCATGTACAACACCGGCATGGTGGACAGGAAGAGGATGAGCAACAGCATGCCCAGGTAGAAATTATTTGATCTGGATGCTTTGAAGACTCTGGCCTCAGGAACGTTGCAACACATCACAGCCCAGCACTGGAAGTACATGGATGTGTGGAGTCGAAGGATATTGATGCCTGGGAGACTGGGAGCAAAGAAGGAACCCATCCTAGAAAGAAAACAGAGCTCTGCTCATTTTTGAGTTTTTACTCCTTACCAATAGCACACAGAACCTGCATATTTTACATAATGCTGCTTCGGAAAGACAGAAAATGTACTTTTACTTTCAGCCATATAAGCCTTTTTTTTCTAAATAAACCATATAGTTCCATCTTGCACACACATTTTTACCATTTTCTATTATTGTAGGTATTATATTCATAATTCTTTCATAGAAGTCATGCTCTTAGCCAACTATAGTCACTATCATTAATAAGCAGAGTAAGCAACATATTACAATTGTTTTACTTCTCTCATTTAATTCTAAAATAAATTTCATTTCTCCTAAAATGCATATCACTGATTAGCATACTTACAAACATCATATATAACTTTTTTATTGACCCTTAAGCCCACTCATTCCCATCAAATGAACTGCACATTTGGATTGATCACTTTTGTTATTATAATGTTCAATAAAGGTGAAAAAAACTATCTTTTTTGGTCTATCTGCTCTTTGTAGCTGTAGTGTTGTTTTAGAGATCATGGGAAAGATGTACTAATGTCCACTATATTTTTGTTGATTATTTAAAGCTAGCTTTAGGTGTTTTTGAAATGAAAATTTCATATGTAACCTTAAGTTCAGTTCATATATGTAATTTCTTGCTTTAGCTTGTCTTAGGCAGCCACTACTTTTTGCATCTGACTTTTCATAAACTATTTTAAAATACTACTTTTAAACAGAAACCACTTATGTGAGGTCACTTTATTTGATGGCTTAATTGTTTATTTCAACAAAATAAATTTTGGTTTTATTTGATAAGAAAACCCGTTAGCACCACAAAGCAATATGAGTAGCAACTTATTAATCCAAAACCAAAAAGAGGAAGCATGTGTACTTGTTTTATAAATATAAGCAGAATCCTGTCTTTTAAACTGTTCCAAGTACATGAAAACTATCAGCATTTCTAGGTTAGCATTTTATACTCCCTGGATATGTAGAGTTGTTGTTTAATAAATGCAATGTAAATGTAATTCATTATAGGGTAATTTTTGAGCTAAGTGAAGAAATTAGTTTCTACTATAATTGAACTTATGCTAACCCAAATATACATTCTTATGAACAATGGATTCTTGCAGTAATTTGTCTCATTGACAGAATTTTGAACAATAGATCTGAATGGTATTTTGCCCAGGTAAAATGTCCAAAGACTTTGTAAGATATTAGACAATTTTTTAAATTAGAGGACAGATTTTAATACAACAGAATGTACCTTTGCTACAGGGCAGCAAAAGACAAACTGGAAATCCAAAAAAATAAGCAAGTAGGTTGGTAGCAATCCCCACTGATAGACCAGAGTTGCAAAGCACTAGGTTATATCCCCAAATGCCAATACTGTGATGCAACACACCTGTGGAAGATGATGCTCAGCTGCTCTGAAAGCCAGTCTTGGCTGTATGGCTATTTAAGGCAATAAAAATAAGAATAGAAATGAAGTACCTCGCTACTAGGTGGAAACTTTAAATGTCCTCTACAGCTTTTTGTTCTTTTCTCACCAGCTATGTTTTAAATGGACCTTATTCCACCAGTCTGGGTCTCTACAGTGAAGGTAAGTTAGAAGAGCAGAGCTCTCCCCAGCCCACATTGGATGTGTTCTTTCTTTAAGCCACTAGGATTTGGGGGCTGCGTTTCATTACTGCAGAACCTAACTGATTCTAAGACATAGGTTTGCACATAATTCAAAAATAGCCTTGACTAAAGCCACATATACTTACAGCTACATATACATGCGCATTGCTTGTCTATAGGCATACATATGCGCACATACATACATGAGTGCACATCAATAAACAATTTTTAAAATAAATATCACATAGATATCTTGTACAAATTACTCAAAAGCCATAACCTAGAAAAGCAGGCCCTGGCACATTGGTATCTGAGTCTCATGCTCATCCTGTCTTTGTTCACGACTCTCTAATCAGTTCAGCTCTCTAAGTCCCTCACCCAGACTTGATCCCATCATCTGTCAGTTATAAATCATTGTAATACCTTAGCCATATAAAATACTTTTCTTCCAAGAAGATCAAAGCAAATGAAAGCTCCTTTTATTTAACTCCCCTTATTGCTCCAGTGACAGCTATGTGTCAAGTAAATTATTCACATCTGATAACTGAGAACACCAGAGAAGAAGGCGACAAGCCTCAGAAGGGAGCCCAGTGAGACAGTACTGGAGCAACGTCCAGGACTCTGCTTCTCTCTCACTGTGTGTCCCCTACTGCCTCTCTACACCCTGCTTTGATAAAGATAATATGTGCTTTCCTCATTTAAACATATTATTTTATAAACCTATAATGGCTATCTTAAAAATAAATATGAAGTATAAAGGTTTGTTGATCATTTCATCTAAATAATAACAAAATGGATTTTCCCAATAAATGGTGACTTTTGTCGTATCTGAAAAAATAATCTCCACTATTCAGTACCTCCTAAAGCATCAATTTTCTATCTCCAGTCACAAAACAATGGGCTTGAGCACAAAAGCTCCATAGGCCATTTGGTTTCTGTAGATAAATGGTATCAGATCTTTATACTCCTTAAAATAATGAAATTACCAGTGGTGAGGAGCTTGTGCAAGGGGAGCCTAATCATTTCCTTGTTCTCTCCTTATACCATCGCATGGTACCCCTTGCCCCAACTCCCTCACCAGCTTCCAGGGAGTTAGAAGAAGAGTGTCTGGTTTGACCTGAAGATCATCAAACGACAGCTATTTTGCTTCTGCAGCTCTGGAAAGTAAGTAAATATCCGTGCTCCTGAGAAATATCCAGTCACTTTCTAAAGTCCTCGTCAGACTAATAAGAAGCAAACCTGGTCATTGTCTGAAGAACGAGTACATAGAAACTGACAATGCAGAGATTTGTGTAAGGGGTATGCTCATAAGAGACTGGAAAAGATTTATAGATTTTTCTAGGAATTTCAATACGAACAATAGTGGAATAAATTGTTGCAAAACTACAAGTGAAAACAACCAGGACAGCAATGACAATAGCTTTTCTTAGACTAAAAATGAATTTCTAGGCCAATTTGTTTTCCTAATTCTGAAAGAACACAATGGACAATGCAGCATATGTCTGCACAAATGGCATCCATGAAGCCTGAGGGATTCATGACTCTGTGTGTAAAAGCCACTGATGTATGGTAATGGTTTCTTATTACTCTGAGTGCTATTTTGCCAAAACTGTCTGCCATGACAGTAAATCCCCCTCCAGGAAAGGGAAGATCTGAAACCTAAGGAGTTGTTCCCTGTTACTCTCTGTCAGTCATCACTCCTTAGGCCACCTTGACTTGTATCCCTGCTTGGAGAATAATGGATTCATTTCACTCCTTAATGACTCTTTGGACATATAAGCCATACTTGCAAACCTTAGATGCCAATTGAGATGTCAGCATCACTTGTTGGAGTCCCTAGATTTGAGTCCTGGTTCAACTCCTGATTCCAGATTCCTGCTAATTCACAACCTGGCAGGTAGCATTTGATGGGACAGGTAGTTGCATCCATATCACCCATATGGGAGACCTGGATTGAGTTCCAGGCTCCTGGCTGCGGTCTGCCCCAGCCCAAGCTGTAGCAGGTACTTAGTGAATGAACCAACAGCTGGAAGTCTCTTCTTTGTCTCTTTCTATCTGACTTTCAAATAAAATGAATACGGATATACATTTTTAAAAATTAAAAAACTGACATCAGAAGAAATTGTCTTTTTATACTATTTTTCTCACACTGATCCATCTAATGAGCTGCAGGAATTTGAAAAGTCCTGCAGCAAGATAATGGAGCCCTTGAGGGCAGTCTTTATATTACTAAACAAGTAATATTATTTTCACATTTGCCAGGAAGTTTAGTCTCTGTCAGTACTCACAGGTTTGATAATTCAGGCCAGCTAGGGTTGAAAGATTTTAGTAATACACAGAGTTTGCCCCAAAACTAAAGCTATGCTGGTACGTGTGACTAGGACAATGGTATGGTTTAGCACAATACTGTATTAGACACATATCCCCAAGATAAAGCAGCTCAATTATAACTGCTTATGGGTTGGGGTTCTCTTAGTTAAGAGTGACAGATTTCTAAGACACATGGTCCCCAGCTGAATTGGATGCTATGATTCAATTTTTAAACTCAAAAACGATTTCCACTGTATCAACTCATCTTAACCTGTCAGGGTTTATAATGAGAATGCTTTCTTTTCATAAAAGATATGACAGTCTTTTGCACATCACAAGAAATAATTCTGATGGGTAAATGGCCCTGTGAAAAAGTAGTGAAATAAAGATATTTTTAACTTGACCCTCCTAAAACATGTGTTTCATCTTTTTAAACTACTGGATTTGGTAAGATGTTATTTTTAAATAGCTATAAGTTATATTTTAAATATATTTAGCCATGACAATAAACTAAATGAATTTATTAGAAAGGACTTATGTTAATTTATATTATAATTAACAGATGGTAATGTGATCATTAATATTTCACCACTAAAATATGGTGTCACAAGACATAAAAATATAGGAGCTGGGGCTGGTACTGTGGTGTAGTGGGTAAAGCTGCCACCTCCAGTGCTGGAAACCCATATGGGAGCCGGTTCGAGTCCCGGCTGTTCCACTTCCAGTCCAGCTCTCTGCTATGGCCTAGGAAAGCAGTAGAAGATGGCCCAAGTCCTTGGGCTCCTGCACGCGCATGGGAGACCTGGAAGAAGCCCCTGGTTCCTGGCTTTGGATCAGCGCAACTCCAGCCGTTGCAGCCAATAGGGGAGTGAACCAGCAGAATGGAAGACCTCTCTCTCTCTCTCTACCTCTCCTCTCTCTGTGTAACTCTGACTTTCAAATCAATAAATCTTTAAAAAATATATAGGAGCTGGCATTGTGACACAGCAGGTAAAGCCTCCATCTGCAATGTCAGCATTCCCAGTGGGTGCCGATTCATGTCCTGGCTGCTCCACTTCTGATCCAGCTTCCTGCTAATGGCCTGAGAAAAGCAGTAGAAGATGGCCCAAGTGCTTGGGCCCCAGGTACCCACATTGGAGACCTGGAAGACGCTCCTGGCTTTGGCCTAGCCTGGTGCTGCCCATCTGAGGAGTGAACCATCAGGTGGAAGATCTCTCTCTGCCTCTCTCTCTCTCTCTGGAGTTCTTTCAAAAATACATATAATTAATTTTTTAAAAAGTTATGAAAATATAGTGTTCAAATAAATGTACTAAATAGAAACATAAGTTCTCATCATTTGATGAAGGAGTGGTCCGCTGAACAGAAGAAAACTTTGAGGATCAAACTTCATTTGCTAAAGCAAATGTTAACCAAAATGACATACATTTTGGTCTCCTCTGATACCAGACACTATAGCGCTTTATGCAGTCATGACCTTGGAGGTTTTTCAATGAGTGATAAACTGTCCAGCAGCAGGCTTACCAGATCATGCCTTGGTTGAAGATCAGAGCGAGGACATTGCCACTGATGTCAAATTCGGTGTATGAAGGCTAGAGGAGACACAGATGTTCATTGAGTTAGCAGCTCAAATGGGAAAACTGAGAGCCAGGTGGTTCTGCATAAGCATGACTAGGCTCTCAACTACTTTCCTTCAGCAATAATAGCAAATAATCAGGATAACAATAATCAGAGATAAATAAAATAAGAAATAATCCTTCTGACAGAGTAAGACTAATTAAAAATGCTGTCATTCAATGCCGTGAAAGTATAGCAAGACACCCTCCAACATACTGCTGGTGAAAGCAAAAACTATAACAACCTTTCAGAAAAACAATCTCATGATACATATTAAAAACTTAAAAAATGTCATTCTCTTTGTCTACTTCTAGGATCTTGTGCTAATAAAGTCATCTGTAGTGGTGACAAGTTTTATCAAGAAAGCATGAAATCTTCTAAGTATACAACATTGTCTTAGGAAAAGCAACATACCTATCCAATGAATATACAGCAGCCAATTATGATCATTTTAGAAGATTATACACATGAATGAAAACTATGCTGTAACAATAAACAAAACATAAAATTTTACATTCATTATTCTAATCAGCTATATATGATTATATGTATCGAGAAAAGCCTGGGAAGTTCAGCAAAATTGTAGTATACAGGTGGGTGATAGATTATGGTTTTTAGCTTCTTTCTGTAAGCTTTGTATATTTAAAAAATTTGTTTCAACAAGAAAATGAATTTTATAATAAAAGAAATATAGGAAAAAATAACAAAAGTTTAAGAAGTTATTCAACACAATGCCCAGTCTTCATGTCTCTGAGAATACTATTGTGTTCATGAAAGCAGCTGAAGTTTGTTGTTTATGCAGAGGCACAAAACACGCATTTCTCTGAAATGGGCATCCTTGCTGGGATGGCTTAACGAAGTCTTCTTGGTGACACCTTTTCATCCTAACAGAAAAGCCTCTTATCAAAGAAGTTAATGATAATTAAAAATACAATGAAATAAGCTTCTACTTAATTTGTAATAGAGAATTCAGAGACTGACTGGTAAGAGAGTAAGAGAGCAGCAAATATGAAACGAGAGGATCAAGAAGACCATGAAAGAGAAACCAAGAGTGTGGCAAGTCCTAGCACTGCCCCAGGTCCTTATAACTGAAGGTATGCCTCAGACTCTAAATTGTTATCCCGTATTAGCGCCTGCCTCCAACACATGCGCACACACACACACACAAGATGATCCAAAAGAGTCCATGTTCTTCCCAAACCCAAGAAACCCAGATAACATTTAGTAGGAGATGGAGTAGCTCTCTGATTTGAATCTCCAATATCTCTTTGCATCAAGAGTTTCATGAGTTCAGGCCTCAACTTCATCACTTTCCCTCAAGACAGCAGTATTCTCCAATACTGCTAAACACATGGGCAATCTACCTTGTCACAGATGCAGGGAATAAACAGAAAATATGGCATACCAAGAATTGCCAAGTCCCCAAATAACATTAAAAATGAAATAATAAATAGCCCTGTATGTTAATAAGACAAAGATGACTTGGATAATTTCAACATAAATTAATTCCAGATAGTAAAGTATACATACAATGTGTTTCACTAGCTTACAGATTCTCTAGAAGTATAATGTTAACAAGATGCAAAAAGGTTTGGTTGACAGTTTTTGCTCTGAAATAAACCATGAAAAAATGTGTCCTCCAAGGAGAAAAATAAATTGCTTCTCATAAGGAGAACATGAACTCTTTCTCCTTCCATGGGAGCACTGTTCCATGGATCATCGACATGTTTCTTTCCAGAGCCCTGTGTTATCACAGAGCACATTTGAACAGTGTTCCATGAGGTGGCCTGTGCCATCTGCGGTCTTGGGACAGCTTTTCTGTGTGAATTCAAGACTCAAAACTTCCATCTTGGCCTCTTTAGAATGGTATCATGATGTAGCCTAGTAAACTACTGAACATGGCATGCACTCAAACTTTTAGAAGTCTGTTTACTCTCTCACAAGCAAGTAAACCTCTTAAATGTCATATTAAATGAGATATTTTTGCAACTAGTGGACCTGAAAAGGACACACTGCCAATCCCTGTCTTCAAACTATGTTTATGGCAGGGGCAGTAGAGGAAAGCCCCGATGTCTAGATGGGCCTGATACAGAGAGAAGATGGAATCCCTACTCTATCAGGTAGTTTGGTGGTCCTGACACTTGACTGAGAATCAAGTCTGAATCTTAGACATTCATTTACCACTTCCTGGTTGGGTGAGTCGGACTCATCACTTATCTAATTAAGTCTTAGTTTCCTCAGAGATCAGGGGGTCTACAAATTACGTTTCATGAGCTAAACCTGGACTGCCATTGGGTTTTGTAAATAAATGTTCATTGGAATACAGCTATATTCATTCTTTATGTATTGGACAAAAATAATAGAGTTTAGTAACTACAACAGAGACTATATGGCTTTAAAAATTAAAACTCTCTTAGCATTCAAGCTAGCAGTTAGGATGCTCACATTCCACATCAGAGTGCCTTGATTCAACTTCAACTTCTTGCCAATGCAGACCCTGGGAGGCAGCAGTGATGACTCAAGTGATTAGGTTTCTGCCACCTACATGGGGCACCTGGATTGAGTTCTTGGCTTCTGGCTCCAATACTGACCCAGTCCAGACTGTTAAGGCATTTGAGAAGTGACCCTAGGTATGGAGATGCTCTCTCTATTTCTGCCTCTCTAATAAATAAAAAAAAGATTTAAATTTTAAAGTAAAAAAAAACTTAAACAAATAAATAATAATTTTAAAGAAAATAAAATACTAATTATAAGGCCCAAGATAGAAAATGTCTGCCAACCCATGAACCAAATAATTTCCAATATTCCTTTTTAATCTGAAAATCTATTATTTGTTGAATATAAGATCCAGCTATTAAAGAAGTGTTTCTCTCCAAACACTAGAATTAAATTCCTTTATGCATTAAAAATAGAAACTTCCATTCTAAAAATTAAATATTGGGGTCAGCATTGTGGCATTGAGGATTAAGTCATTTCTTGTGATGCTGGCATCCCATATCAGAGTGCCAGTTCAAGTTTCAGCTGCTCTGCTTCCAATCCAGCTAGTGTGCCTGAGAAGGTAGCAGAGGATGGCCCAAGCGCTTGAGCCCCTGCCACTCATGTGAGAGACCAGGATGGAGTTCCTAGCTCCTGGTTTTAGCCTAGCCCAGACTTGATTCTTATGGCCATTTGGAGAGAAGTCTCTCATTGCAATAAGTTACCTGAGTTTCTTCAAACAAATCCCATGTACCACCAGTTGAAAAAGTACTTATAGAGTTGTAGGCTGGTGTGACTTGTGGTTTTGGAGCAGTGGTCCTCAAATGAGGTTCCCAGACAAGTCAGAAAGCGTCATCTGGAAATTTGCTAGAGGAGCATTCTCAGGTCCTCCTTCCAGATCTTCTGAATCTGAAAGCTATATTTTCTGAGGCCCTTCAGGAGACTAGGATATGCATTCAAATTTGAGAACCACAATCTAAGACAAACCCTATATTCATCTACTAAGATGATTCAGCACATAGAGATCCACACTTCAACTTGAGTTGAAGACGGGATCCTGTTAATAGCAGACAGCTCTGTCCACATACTCAAGTGCAACGTCAAGCATAGTCTGTTCCTGTTCACATGTTCTCACCCCATTATGGAATGTCCATGACTTCTTATTGACTTTTTCATACTATTTTCCTGAGCTGCTACACACTCCCAGCTAGAAAACAACCGTTCATCTGTCAATTCGATGTCCCAGCTCATCCTGCCAACTTCATTCCACTGCAAGTAAGCCATATGAGCTGAGAAGTATCTCAAACTGCAAATGCTGTAGGTCTGGCTCATGAATAATGCACACTTGATCAGAGGCCTTGAAATTTCTAGGGTTATGCATTACAATGAAAGTTCAATATTATGGGAGTCTGATTATTGGCTATGAAGTTGATTGGAAATGGTTTTTTTTTTTAACTTTTATTTAATGAATATAAATTTCCAAAGTACGACTTACGGGTTACAATGGCTTCCCCCCCATACTGTCCCTCCCACCCACAACCCTCCCCTTTCCCATTCCCTCTCCCCTTCCATTCACATCAAGATTCATTTTCGATTATCTTAATATACAGAAGATCAGCTTACTATACATTAAGTAAGGATTTCAACAGTTTGCTCCCACACAGAAGCATAAAGTGAAAAATAATAGATGATTTTTTTAAAATGATGATGAAATCAGATCAGACCTATTGTCACAAGACACTCTGGCAAAAAGATCTCTGTGAGTGAGATCCCAGTGGAAAGAACAGGTCTTCAAAGAAGGAGGTACCTTTCTCTGAAGGGAGGAGAGAACCTCCACTTTGACTATGACCTTGGCTAAACAAGATAAGAGTTGGAGAACTCAAGGGGCTTCCATAGCCTTGGAAACTCATGACTGGTGCATAGGGAGATTACTGATGCCATAAACAGGAGTGTCAATTTGTAAAGTCAACAACAGGAGTCACGGTGCACTTACTCCTCATGTAGGATCTCTGTCCTTAATGTGCTGTACATTGAGGCTTAATGCTATAACGAGTACTCAAACAGTATATTTCACTTTGTGTTTCTATGGAAATGGGTTTGAGGACTAACTCTACCAAGGACCAGCTATGCATCTTTGAACAAATTAACATCTCCTAAGCTTCAGATTTTTATAAAGTAGGGATAATAATACCTACTTCACAGAATTGCTAGCATAATTATATGAAATAATATATGTAAAGTATTTCATAGTTTCTGACACATAGTAAGCACTACAAAAAAATATGATACAAAAGAATTTAATATGGTTGGGAATCCACTGCAATGATCTGTCAATTAATGCCTCTTATTTACAAATCCCTTTATGAATCTTGAATCCCTTTATCAGATCTCAAGGAAATTCACCATATTTTCCATTTAAACACATTAAACAAAAATCATCTTAAAATGCAATTGCAAACAACATGCTGACTTTGACTTAACATGCCCTTACTCTATGCTC